CAATATAAATGGCGCTGGGCAGCGGGGAGAGCATTCGAGCCCCTGAGACGAGGAGTCAGAGAGAGGGACGAGGAGGAGCACGTGGCGCTGGAGGGACAGTCTCCGCTCCTGCTCAGTGTGGGGAGAGCGGGGCTTGGGGCCAGCGCAGTCCCGCGTCCTGCCTGCCTGCGGCCTAGGTGCCCTGGTCAAGGCCCTCCGTCTTCCCACATCACGTCGCCTTCCTGCAGCGCGGGGCAGTGGGACCTGCGCCCCAGCGTGCTGGAAGGATGAAGGCTGACTCGGTGGAGGCCCTCCGTACAGGTGCCCACGGCCACGAGGGCCCGGGTTCCCTTCACAGGAAGAGGTCTGCAAGTGGCCTCTCGGGAAGAGGCGGGCCCTCTCACCCCTTGGCAGGCAGGGACCAGGATCAGCCACTGTCGCAAACCCCGCTCAGGGGGGTCAGAGCATCGCAGCAGCATGAAAGGTGAGACTGCCCAGCATTCAGGAGATAAAGGGGACTTTTACAGCCAGGAAACCACCGGATGCACTGCTCTTCCTTTTCCTTTATGTCTATTGTGAGCCTCCGTGCCGGGTAAGCATCCCCGCAGCAATACAAAGTTTTCTTCAGGGACAGTCGGTGTGCGGAGGTGAGGGAGGAAGGAAGCGAGTGACTGCTTATGACTCCCTTCGGATCCTCTGATGCCAGGCCCCAGGGCACGGCGTTCCCCATTTCCTCGCCTGCTGGGAGCCCTGGAGGAAGCCAGAGGGGAGGCCGGCCAGCTGGACCCAGGGGGACCGGGCCTCCCGCCGCCTGTGGAAACAATTCCAGCCGACACCCCTGAGAACGCTCACATGAACCAGCGAGGGGGCCCTGCGTCTCGCCCAGCGCTCAGTGTAAAACAGTGCAGAACAGTCGTGGGGCTGTGAAAGGAGGGGCTTGCTTTGCTCAGGGAAAGTCGGGAGGTCAGATCCCCAGAGCCTCTATAAGCCATTTGTGAAAGCAGGAAAGTGAGGGGCTGGCTTGGCCTTTGCACTTTGGGGTGAGGGTTGGAGAAAGGTACGCATGTCATCAAGGGGAGTCAAATAAACGAAAAGGCCTCCCCTCAGGGCATCACAGTGGGTGACGGTGAATTTTATGTGCCAACTTGACTAGGCCACACTGTCAAAATATCGGTTAGCCGTCCTTCCGCATGTCTCTGTGGGGGTGTTACCAGATGAGATGAATATTTAACTCAGTGGATGTTGAGTGAAGCAGATCTCCCTCCGTCATGTAGGTGAGCCTCATCCAATCAGTTGAAGGCCTTCAGAGTAAAGGACTGAGCAAGAAACAATTTTGCCTCCAGATTGCCTTCAGACTGGAGCTGCAACATCACCTCTTCTCTGGGTCTTCAGCCCGCCACCATCAGACTTACCAGCAGCCACTCTGCTGTGAGACAATTTCTTAAAATCTATCTATCTATCTACTATCTATCTACTATCTATCTATCTATCTATCTATCTATCTATCTATCTATCTATCTTATCTATCATCTATCTCTCATCTATCTATTATCTATCTATCATCTATCTATCATCTATCATCTATCTATCTATCTATCTATCTATCTATCTATCTACCTACCTACCTACCATCTATCTATCCATCCCATTGGTTCTGTTTCTTTGGAGAACTCTAATTAATATGGGGTAGGTGTGAGGACACTCCCCTGACCCAGGTATGAAGAAGGTGGTTAAGGTGAGATAAGGTCTGATAATTTCAGATCTACTACAGCAGTGGTTCTCAACCTTCCTAATGCCGCGACCCTTTAATACAGTTCCTCATGTTGTGGTGACCCCCAATTTCATTGTTACAAATTGAATATAATTAAAGCATAGTGATTAATCACAAAAACAATATGTAATTATATATGTGTTTTCCAATGGTCTTAGGCGACCCCTGTGAAAGGGTCGTTCGACCCCCAAAGGGGTCGCGACCCACAGGTTGAGAACCGCTGTACTAGAGTATTTGCTGGTGGGGTGGTGGGGAAGAATGAGGGGTGGAGTTAGCCTAACATCTTGGTAGTGAGAGTCTAAACAGATGTTTGTGCCCTCACCAGGCTAGGAGATGGCAAGCTGGCTCTGAAAGATTCGGATCACACATCTCTGTGTTCACCCATTCGTTCACGTGACAATCCTGACTACCAGGCACTCTCTAGACCAGCGGTTCTCAACCTGTGGGTCGCGACCCCTTTGGCGGTCGAACGACCCTTTCACAGGGGTCGCCTAAGACCATCCTGCATATCAGATATTTACATTACGATTCATAACAGTAGCAACATTACAGTTATGAAGTAGAAACGAAAATAATTTTATGGTTGGGTCACCGCATGAGGAACTGTATTTAAAGGGCCAGAAGGTTGAGAACCACTGCTCTAGAGACTGGGGGTTCAGCGGTGAGCAACGCAGGGCCTGCCTTCCTAACTCAAAAAGAGACAATACACAGATAAACTAGGAGAAGAGAAGTAAAGTAAGAGGACGGAGTTTGATGGGCGGCTTGCGGGTCTTCTGTGTAGCAGATTGCCAGCACCTGCGATAAATGCAAGCCCTGCCCAGTTTCCTGCCGGGGGCCAACTAGTTCATGGGCAGTTAAGGCACAGCTCTGTCCCGGGGCCAGGCAGCCTCCTGTGAGGACACCGAGTGCCCGCGGGCCCATAGGAACTGTTGCTGGAGGAAGTGCCCCTAAGCTCCCAGAAGCTAGCCTCCTCAGGCTCTGCATTCAGGGGAGACTGGGCAGTGTGAAGGGCCAGGTGGGGCCTCAGGGGCTCCGCCGGCTCAGCACCCGCTCCAGGCGCAGCTTCCTGAAGTCCTTGCCTGCGGAGTTAGTCCGGATAGAAGGCTGCCTCCTTCCCGAGATGCGTTCACGTCTAGGACGTAAGGAGCATCTCCATCAGGTATAGAAGAACCCAGGTCCATGAAGGGGACAGGGAGGGGCGAGCCGAAAACTGGGGCCTGGCAGGGAGGGGACCAGGCCAGGTTTCCACCTGCAAAAACCAGGAGCCAAGCTGCGCGGGTCTCTCTGGTCTTCACAGGCTCCAGGAAGCAGCAGCAGGAAGGGCCTTGGGCTGGCTTTGCAGTGGGACTTCTGAGCTGCAAAGGAAGTGTTTTCCATCCGAGGACTTCACAGAAACAAAGCCTCACACGCTGAGCGGAAGTGACGGCCTTCTCGGCCGTTAACGGTCCTGACGGCAAGGCTTGGTCGGCACTGGTAACATGTGCAATTGGCATGACTCCTTCAGAGCCCTGGCATTTCAGCCTGGAGCTGCAGTGCTGAGAGGCCTGGAGCTGCAGTGCTGAGAGGCACCCCTGCATTTCACACAGACAGACCAGGGAGGGAACCAGCTCGCGGCAAGTTGAGCATCAGTCACAACTGCAAATGGAACTGACGGCTGTACCCCAGCAGGAGCGGAGCCTTCGCGGGCACCGAGATGCAGGTGTGAATACACAAGACTAACATTTTATCTTGTGGGCTAGGCCTTACATGGGAGACGGGATCACACCTTTCTATGTGTTTTATGTTCCTGCTACTGAGGTTAGTAGAGACAATTATATGTGAGTGAGCATGATGTTTATTAGATTAAAATGCATGACAGCAAGCTCTTAACTTTCCACATTAATGGCTGGAATCTTTGTTGACTAGCATTAATAAAATAGTGGTAATGATAACAGCAACTACTACTACCTAAAAACCTAACCATTAGACCCAAAACCATAAAATTCTGAAAAAAAAAGAAAGCTTAGGAGAAAGCATTATATTAGATTTGGCGATGATTCCCTGGATCTGACACCAACAGCACAGGCAACAAAAGCAAAGACAGACAACTAGAACGACATCAAACTTAAAGCCTTTTGCACAGCAAAGGAAACAATCACCAGAGTGAAAAGGCAACCTATGGGTGGGAGAAAACATTGGCAAATCATATATCTGTTAAGAGTTTAAAATGCAGAACATATAAAGAACTCCTACAACTCAACAACAGCAACAACAAAAACAACCAGATTGAAAAGTGGGCAAAATACTTGAATAGACATTTCTCCAAAGAAGAGACACAAATGGCCCCCAAGCTTCTGAAAACAGGCTCAGAATCACTAACCATCAGGGAAATGCAAACCACACCTCGATGAGATATCCCCTCACCCCATTAGGATGGCTACAAAAAGCAGGAGCCTGCGTGTGGACGTGGGGAAACGGGGACCCTGGGCACTGCTGGTGGGAATGAAAATGGTGTGATCACTGTGGAAGGCAGGATGGCGTTTCCTTAAAACATTACAGACAGAACTGCCACATGCTCCAGCTGGTCCACGTCTAGGTGTACAGCCAATGAATTGAAAGCACGATCTCACAGAGATATTTGCCCACCCCGTGCATCAGAGAAGTATCCACAATAGTCAAGGGTGGAAGCACCCCAGGTTCATCCATAGGTGAACGGATAAACAAAATGTGTGATCTACATACAATGGAACATCATTCGACTTTAAAAAAAGGAATTCTTTTTTAAAATGTATCTTTATTGTTGAAAGTATTACAGACGTCCCCTCCACCCATTAACCCCCTCTATCCCACACCCGCACCCCCCAGGTCTACCCCACTACTGTCTGTGCCCATGGGCTATGCATATCTCTCTCTATAAAAGCCTAAGTGACCAGTCTACCAGTTGTTCAGTAGCTATTGGGCAGACGCTCAATGCAGGAGCTGCCCCCTGGTGGTCAGTGTGCTCCCACAGCAGGAGCTCCCCTCAGCTGACCAATGGGCGCCTGGCTCATGGCTCCCAGTCCCAGCATCGGGGCTGACTGGGCGCAAGCCCCACCGCTTCTCCAGCGCCTTGTGAGGAGCGAGACTGCGATGATGAGCGGCGGCTGCGCAGTCAAGGGCGCCGAGGCCGCAGCAGAGCGGCGGTGGCGGCAGGCGCAGCAGGGCCAGGATGAGCGGGAGCAGCACAGCACCTAGCCCGGGCTCAGGCTCCTCCCTGGCCACCTGCTGCTTCATGCACTACTTTGTGCTGTGCAGGTTTGACACTGACAGCGGGCTGGAGCCAGACGAACTGGCGGGTAAGGCCAGGCTGTGGCAGCACGGAGGTCCACTGATCCCCGCAGGCCAGGCTGAGGGACCCCAACGCTGCACAAATCCATGCACCAGGCCTCTAGAATGCATATAAAGTTATTTGGTTAATCTCTTTCCACCCAACCCCCCTCTTCCCTCTGAGAATTGTCAGTCTGTTCCCTGCTTCCATGTCTCTGGATCTATTTTGTTCGTCAGTTTATTTTGTTCATTAGATTCCACATATATGTGAATGGCTTATTTCACTTAGCATAATACTCTCCAGGTCCCTCCATGCTGTCTCAAAGGGTAAGAGATCCTTCTTTTTACTGCTGCATAGTGTTCCGTAGTGTAAATGTACCACAGCTTTTTTTATCCACTCATCTACTGATGGGCACTTGGGCTGTTTCCAGATCTTAGCTCTTGTAAATAGTGCTGCTATGAACATAGGGCTGCATACATTCTTTCTCATTGGTGTTTTGGGATTCTTAGGATATATTCCAAGAAGTGAGATCACTAGATCAAATGGCAGTTCCATTTTTAGCTTTTAGAGGAAACTCCATACAGTTTTCTATAATGTCTGTACCAGTCTGCATTCCCACCAGCAGTGCACGAGGGTTACCTTTCTCCACATCCTCGCCAGCACTTGTCATTTGTTGATTTGTTGATGGTGGCCATTCTGACAGGTGTGAGGTGATACATCAGTGTCGTTTTTATTTGCATCTCTCTGATGATTAGTGATTTTAAGCATTTTTTTCATGTGTCTCTTGGCCATTTGCATACCTTCTTTGGAGAAGTGTCTATTTAGGTCATTTGCTCATTTATAATTAGATTGTCTTCCTTTTGTTAAGTTGTATGAGTTCTTTATATATTTTGGAAATTAACCCCTTATCAGATGTATCATTGGCAAATATATTCTTCCATGTTTTTTCATGTGATCATTGCAAGCCACCCTGCTGAGGAGGGCCTCTTCGTCAGCCCATTGTGCAGAGGGTGTGATTAACGCTGCGAGGGCAGTGCTGCTGCCCAGCCTGGCGAACAATGTGCCTGAGGGACACAGCTAGGAAGTGGCTGAGCTGGGAGGAGAGCTGCCCCCAGCTCATTCCCGGAACCACCATATGACACTGTGGGGCATTAGAGGCTGGGCTGGGGTGACCTTTCTCCCCAGACGTGGGCCTCAGCCTCTGGCACAGTGTGTGTGTGTGTGTGTGTGGGGGGGGGGGGGGTGGGGGGGGGGTGCGGTGAGCTGGGGAAGGGAGCAGGCTACAAGGCTCCTTAGTTTGGAACTAGGGATGAGTGACGGGTTTGGTTTCCAGAGGCAACGCATCTAAGGTTAGTTTCCCAGGCAGCATCTGAGCAGCACAGTGGGGCACCCAGAGGAAAAGGAAGGCTGCCTTCATGTGAGTGAGCTAAGCGCCTGGTCCTGCGTTGGGGCCTCACTGACGTTATTTAATCCTCAGCAAAGCGTCAGGAGTCAGGGTTCTCATCGCCATCCAACAGGTGAATACAGAGGCTCACAGCGAATCAGGAACTTGCCCAGGGAAGCACGGGACCACCGCCCCCAGAACTGGAAAGCACCGGACGCAGCCTCCAGGGGGCGCGCGGCCACACTCTCCTGGCCCTCTGGCCGCCCTCTCTCCTGGATCCTGTTCCTCTCTTCCCAAACCCCATCCCTCCCTCCCCTCCCTGCGCCCGGCGTCTGGCTTCCTGCTTAACTGGAAGAAACAGAGCCTCCCAGCTGCCCGCAACCCACCGCGAACTGCATCTGTGCAGACACTCCCCCGCCCCCGCCCTGCCCCCCGCTCCCCCTCCGGCGTGGCTGACCTGTCCTTGGTCCTGAGCCAACCAACCCTTCCCCAACCGGCAAGTCTCCTCTGGTCGCCCGCAGGGTCCACGGTCTCCCGCAGGGTCCGCGGTCTCCCGCAGGGTCCGCGGTCGCCTTCCTTCCCGGCTGGACCATTCCCACCTCAGCGAAACGCTTTTCTTTTGTGGGTCGTGTCTAGCGTATTTTATATGCAAGCGGGTCGTTTTTTCACTGTTCCTCCTCTAAACAACACGAGTTATTCAGTAATAACCATTGTTTTGATTCACTGTCTAGTTTTAAAAACAACTAACAATTAAAACAAGAATAAATTTCCATGGCAAAGCTATTCAAATTCAGAATATTTCATGACTAAAATTTTCACTTATCAAACCGAACTATTGCACCTTTCAGCTTGCACTCTGCTGTTTAAATTTTAAACACAAATAAAAACGTCAGTCAGTCACACAAAAATGACGGAACTGAAGTAACTCAAGTTCTGTTTTTAAAAGTATACATTTCTAAGTCCACGAAGATCTGTTTGACAATCTCTCTGCCATTCTCTGAGCTCAGGGACAGCTTCTAGAGCGACTGCAAAAGTCACCCATTAATAGCAACAAAGACTCCCGCACACAGGCACTGTACCCACCTGCGTGGCTGGAGGCCTCCGACTAGGCTTAGGCCAAGGATGGCGCATTTATGGCATCAATTTTTTCCACTCTCCCCTTCAGAGACCTTGGCAGACGTTATCATTCAGTCTCCATGACTCACCAGCCACTGTTAATTCATGGAGTTGGCATGTGGAATGACATTTATTTTGCCATGTTTCGTTTTAAAATGTTCAAGCCCTGGCTGGGTAACCCAGTTGGCTAGAGTGCTGTCCCCATACACCAAGGTTGCAGGTTTGATCCCAGTCAGGGCACATACAACAATCAACCAATGAGTGGATAAACAAGTGGAACAACAAAGCAACATTTCTCTCTCTCTCTCTCTCTCTCTCTCTCTCTCTCTCTCTCTCTCTCTCTCTCTCCCCTCTCTCTCTCCAATCAATAAATAGCTCGACCGGCATGGCTCAGTGGTTGAGCACTGACCTATGAACCAGGAGGCCATGGTTCGATTTCTGGGTCTCAGGCCCAGTCCCCAGTAGGGGGAGTGCAAAGGCAGCCAATCAATGATTCTCTCTCATCAGTGATGTTTCTATCTCGCTCTCCCTCTCCCTTCCTCTCTGAAATCAATAAAACTATAATAAAAATAAAATCAATCAATAAATAAAATAAAAACATTCAATGTATACATTTTAAAAAATATATACATATTTTTATTCAAACTAACAACCTTGGAATGTTCACTCTGCCCCCCTGGTCCTTCCGGGCAGCCCAGGCCTCCCCCTGCTCCTGTCTTCCTGACCACCCTGCTGTGTCCCCCAGGGGCCCTTCATGCGTGCCCGCCCTTGTCCTAGGAGCTGTGAGAACAATAAACTTTGTTTTCCTGAGCCACTCCTCTGTCTTCTCTGGAGGCCACACCTGACTGATCATCTCATCAAAGAATACAAAGCACTATGGATAATAGTCATTATCCACTAACTTATCATGTACTTAAGGCCATTTTAAGTTATGAAAACATCATAATATACATAAAGAAAAAATATATATGACTAGAGGCCCAGTGCATGAAATTCGTGCATGGGTAGGGTCCTTAGGCCTGGCCGGTGATCAGGGGTGATCGGGGAGCCCCCACTGGCACCTGCCTTGGCTGGCCTGGTGCCGCCCACTCACTGGCCCTGCCCCCGCCACTGCTGCAGGTTGGGACCTGTGGGCTGGGGGCAGCTCCTGCATTGAGCAACTGCCCCATGGTGGTCAATGTGCATCATAGTGACTGGTCGTTTCACCAGTTGTTCTGCTGTTCAGTCGATTTGCTTATTAGGGTTTTATTATATAGGACAGGCTCAGTTAGTTGCCGGGAAAAGCAGAATTTGAGCATAGGTGGAATTATTCAAAGTAGCCAGCCTTGCGATGTTCACCCTGCCCTGTCTGGTCCTCCCTGGGCAGCTCCAGCCTTCCCCTTGCTCCTGTCTGTAATGGCTCTGCGCTCGAGGGATGGTCTCCGGTTGCCTGGAACCTGGCTCTGGGATGGACGAGGCACAGGGATGTTGCCGGCTGGGGTGTAAGGTCAGAGAGAGGGGGTCTGGCTTGAGCCTGTTATTCTGCACGTGAGGGGCAGCTCCTGGCTGGGCTCTTTGCTGCCTCTAAGAATTGGCAGTCTCTCCCCAGCCAAAAAGGTCTCTAAAGATGAAAAAACATCATCTACACTAATAAAAGACAAAGATGCTAATTGACCATACCTTTGTTATGCCCTAAGCCAAGCCCACCAGCCAATCAGAGCAACTATATGCAAATTGGGTTAATTTGGTTGTGTTAACCCAACCAAGATGGCGGCCGGCAGCCACAGAGCTGGAGCAAGCAGGAGGCTTGGTTGCCTGGGCGATGGAGGAAGCCAAGCTTCCTGCCAGCCCTGAACCAGTTGAGGACTCCACTCATGGCAACAAAGTTTCAATTATAGAAGACAAATAAATCCCAGATACTGGCTTCCAGCCAGCCTTCACTGGGAGCTTGGGTGGCTAGTGGTTGTGGCCAGTCTGCAAACAGCCATCAGCCCCTCACCCAAGCTGGCCACACCCTCATGGGGTGAGATTCCCTACTGGGAGGGCTTAGCCAGCCTGAAAACGTCCCTCAGCCCCTTACCCAGACTGGCCAGGCACCCCAGCAGGACCCCCCACCCTGAAGGGGCTGTGACCAGTCTGCAAACGGCCCTCAGCCCCTCACCCAGGCTGGCCAGGCACCCCAGTTGGGACCCCCACACTGAAGGGGCTGTGGCCAGCCTGTAAACAGCCATCAGTCCCTCATCCAGGCTGGCCAGGCACTCCTATATAATAAAAGTGTAATATGCAAATTGATCCTAACAGCAGAATGACTGGTCACTATGACACGCACTGACCACCAGGGGGCAGATGCTCAATGCAGGAGCTGCCCCTTGGTGGTCAGTGCGCTCCCACAGGGGGAGCTCTGCTCAGCCACAAGCCAGGCTGACGGCCTCCAGTACAGCGGTGGTGGTGGGAGCCTCTCCCGCCTCCTCAGCAGTGCTAAGGATGTCCGACTGCAGCTTAGGCCTGCTCCCTGCTGGCAAGTGGACATCCCCCGAGGGCTGCCGGAC